ATTCTTACTTTACAGCATTTTTTCACACCTGCCTAAAACTTTTGCACAGTACTGTATACAATAGACTTATGCTTAACCACAGATGTGAAACAGATTTTTTTAATAAGCACATGCTTACCATTCTCATTCATTCTTGGGCACCTTCCTGGCCCAATAACTTTTTCCGTACTCTCTCATCTTGTTCCCATCCATCCATCTCATAGCATGAATTTTCCAATGAATCAGTAATTCAGAATACTATAACATTTTCTCCAAAACTATTCCTAGTTCTTCCATACTCACACACAAAGCCACCAAAAGTTATGGAGTAGGAGGAGGGATTAAAAGCTCCAAAATGCCCAGCAACTGGGTGTCCTGACATAGGTGCAAGATCTTCTCCTGGAGTGGGGGAGGGGATATATTGTCAGGTCCAGCCTGGCTCAGCACACGCCATTCAAGCTAACCGCCATTCTGCCTAGCTAAGTTCAAACGCGCCTGGTCAGCTTCCTTGCTTCAGGTGCAGGTGATCGAAAGAGGAAGTGCTAACCGCAAGTAAACTGCTGACAGGTGGTGGCAATCAGCCCACGGCAGGATTCAATTACTTTGTAACAAGCGGGACTTCACCCAGCCACCGCAGGCAAGCAGCCGACAATAGAGACAAAGAGCTCTGCAGCTCAAGCCGTGCTCAACTGCCCATCAAGTGCAATCGTGAGTCAGCCTCACGGGACCTGCCTCGCAAGCAAGAAAGCCGAAAACAAAGGACCCTGGCTGAACTTGCCATCGGACCGAGGCGGGGAGAGCCGGGGTCGAGGGGCGAGGCAAGGATGGGCAAAGGTGGGCAGGGGCGGTCAACAGGCGGGACTTGCTAAGCACGGGAACGAGGAGACTATAAAATGCTATGTAACCTGTGCCAAGCCAACCCTGGCTTTGTTTGTAACCACCTGTATTACACCTAAGTAAATTGCTTTTGTACAAGCCTGCGTCTCACAGAGTCTTTATTCGGCACTGAATGCGGCAATTCTTACATATATAACCAGTCACTGTAACATAGCTCTCTCTGTTCCAAAGAAAATGGAACAGAAAGATGGCAGATGGGTTCCTAAGGAGGTTTTCTGTCCTGGCCTGCACAGAAATCTGAAGCTTTCTACATGTGAATCTGGATGACTAGAAAAAGGGCCTCCTATATAGTTCCAAGTGCCTCCTGGAAGGAGGAAACATCTATGAAGACCCCTCAAAGTTCTTTGGTTGCAAGATGATGATCATGGGGGATGTAATCCATAAGATATTCCAGTTGTGATGAATCCATTGTAAAATATATCCAGCAGCAATATAGCTTCCATCAGTAATTAAGTCCTCACTGAACTGATTACTGAACAGAAGCTGGATGCTAAACAATGGTTGGCTCTTTCTCTCTAGATTTGTAGTTGTAGGCCCATTGGGGTTTAAGTGCACTGGAAGAGCTTCTTTGTGCTTCTTTGAACAAAATAAAGTAGGGAATATGGGTTTATCATCTTCTTTTATTTTGCATGGATGTAGATTTCAGTGGGCCAACTGAAGGTTTGTTCACTTTCTGAGAGATGCAAAATAGGAATTGAGACATTCTGCCTTTTCATCATTCTCCTGCTTGCTATGCTTCCAAGTATTCTGTAATTATTTCCAGTAATCATTTGCTAGCACAATTTCAATAATAACGTCCCCTTTTGCCTATATTCCTTCTAGTCATTTTCTGCTGTCAGAACCTGCAGCAATCGAATGAATGGCCAAAAGAGGACTGATTTATTATGGATAGTAAACGCTACATCTGCTTGCTTTAATTCTCCCATTTGTAACAAGGGGGGGAGGAAATGAAAGAAGACAGAACTGGTGTCATCCCGAAGGCCAGGAAGAAAAGTTATCAGGGTGAGGAATTCACAAGGCCACAACTCGGTGAGAAAGGAATCTGGCACCAAAGAAGGTAAAAGTAGGAGGGAAAATTACACAGGCTTTATTTTTAGCAATGCTTTGCTTAGAGCTGCATGTACCATCCAATAAAGGAGATTTTATCTGAACCAGGCCTGGTTTTATGAGAATTCTTCTGGATTGGGATTTGGACATTGTAGGCTTGACATCTGCATTGAGAGGCAGCAGTAGCCAAGTGGGCAGAGATGGCTCTGGTGAAGGCAGATACTGGGCAGAGTATACCAAAGCACAACAGGAAGGAAGCCAAATGAAAGCAAGGAAACAAAAGCAGACATGGCATCAGCAATAGTACAAGAATCGCTGTGGGCACTCAGTAAGAAGTTAAGAAGCTCTACTAAATCAGGATCCAAGAAGCTGCAACACTACTAGAATAAACACCCTCTTGTTGGGGATGCTGATGTGTGGGGAGAATAGCTGTTCTTAGGCAACCAATTTTACATTTAAATTTTCAGTATCATCATTCTGAGTGTTAAATAATTCCTGTATATAAGAATTATATAAAGATATAAAGAAATCATATAGAGTTGCAAGAAATGATGCAATTTTATTAGATGTAACACAAAATTGCTCTCAAATAATCTTAGCATACTACCAGTACTGAAGAAGATTGAAATTTCACAACAAATGTGAACCCTCTGCAAAACAGATCCATTTGCTGCTTAGACTGATTTACTTTCTTCAGTAGAGGTTGAAGATGTAATGTTCTTTAATACTACAAATATCTCAGAACCTACTGACAAGGTATTAGAAAGGAAGAACTGTGTCCCAGAGTGATTTGCCAGGTATATTCCGAAGTTAGTCTGAAAAAAAGACACAGCACATAAGCACATCACAGTAAACTTATATGATGAAATCAAGGCTATCAGATCTAGGCTGCAAAAATCTAATTAAATGGAAATTAAATGGAAACAAATAGTCCCAGATTATTGCAGTCCACTTATGGTAGCTATAATGAAACAGAGTATGCAATAACAACCTGGAGTTCCCCTGGATTGGATAAATAAAATTCCAGGAATTAAGAGGAATATACTAAGCAATAGAAAAAACATCCAAATTTTAAATGATATTTAGAACCATTCTCAATTTAAGTTCTCTAAATGTATTTTGAGTTTCTAAGTGAATACTGTTATATTTGCCAGAAGAGTGGTTCAGTACTGGAACCAATTACTAAAGGATGAATATGGGAGGCATATCTCATAGTATCTCACAGTAAGTGGCTGCCACTGATGCTTTGGTGAAAGTGGTTTGTGATTTTCCTGTTATCAGGGTAGTTTAGGAAGTAAAAGTTTATTCCTTCAGCCCCACATCTCCTGATGAAACTAAGTTGCCTGTTTGGGTTTGGAAAAGCCTTGGGCAGAAAGGATTCAAATGCTGGAGGTATCGTATGTATGTATGTATGTATGTATGTATGTATGTATGTATGTATGACATTTATATAGCTGCCCATCTCACACAAACATAAAGTTTCTAATGAAAACAAGGGAAGAATTAGAGAAAGATGGGCACCCTTGCCATTGGTTTATGTATACACAACTAAAGGAACAATTTAAATTA